AAAGCACTAGGTATTATTATTAATTTATTTTATCTTACTCGCAAGGAAACTGCTGCAATGAAATGGCTTCCATGCTGATTTATAGGTAGGTTCAAGGCAGGTTTAGATGGCAACGAAAAGCAGAAATAGCACTCCATTATTGTCATAAGGTTAAAGCTTTATTGTGTCTATCTTTATATTCATGTTGTATTGGTTAACAATTTCATAATTAATATTTTAAAAGTTGGCACTTGATCATTGTGCTTTTATTTATTAAAATATCAGTACCATCCGAAGGCCGGTAATACAATATCATTTCTTTCCGCACTCTTTCTTGAAAAGACTGGTGACCTCTTTTTGGATTTTCTACCATGTGCACAGAGTAAAAACAAGATAGGACTTGGAAAGGAGCCCAGTGATACTGTTACATTTTAAAATCTTTGTGCAATGTACAGACTAGGGACTAAGTCAGAGTAAATAGCAGTAGCCATTGCTACCAAGAAGAGCTTCACTTGAAAGGCAATAAATGGATCTGTTTCAATGTAGATCTCCACATCAACACTCAAATAGGGCAGCATACACTGGGGAAAATACTGTAGAGAAGAAATCCTGCTAATATAGACTATTCTTGAGTTTTTTACTATAGTGTTTTGTGGGACTTTTTCATAATGGTTATTGTGGTGGACAATTGCCATTGCCATATATGAAAACGCTTCCAGTCCTTAGTCTGTGACATTTTCCGTGCTGCTAGATATGTGTAGAAAGTCTTCACCAAGCACTGCTCTCTCTCTCGCTGATCTCTGTTGCTGAATTTTCCCTCTCTGAGCATCACCTGGTCCCTTTCAACATCACCCATCAGCCCCTCCCCTTGTCCTGTCACTCAACCTTTCCATGGTTTCCAGTCCATCAGCTTTGATGATTTTTCATCTGCTCTCAGCTCTCTCCTCCCTGTCCTCTGTTCTCTTGCTTCTACTGATGTGGTTGTTGATTATCTCCATGCTCCACTCTCCTCCACCTTTGACTCTTTGGCCTCTCTCTCCCATCACAAGGTCCATCCTGCCTTGGCTCACCCCCCAACATCTGCTTCCTTCACTTCTGCTCTCACACTGCAGAGTGTTTCTATGGAAATCCTGTGACCAGGCTGATTTCCTCCACTACAGATTTGTTCTCTTTATCAGTTCTGCCATCTTGCTAGATAAGCAGCCCTACTTCTCCAACATAATTTAATCCCATGCCCGCAATCCCAGACACTTTTTGCTATCTTTGATTCACTCCTCAAACCCTCCCCTCCTCATGTCTCCATGTCTCTCTCTGCACAGAATCTCATTAATTTCTTCAAAGAGAAAACTGACAACCTATGACATGATTCTCTCTCCCCTTGGTTTCCCTTCCCTTTCCCTCCTACAACTCTCTTCCTCCTCCACAGTAACAGATGCAATGGTTTTTCATCTGCTCTCCTCCTCTTCTAACACTTCCACTTGCCTCAGTGAGCCCATCCCATCCCATCTCATCTCCTGATCTCCCTTGCTCCCACTCTTATACCCTACATTACTCTTCTCTTTTAATCTCTCACTCTCCTCTGGCTCTTTTCCCTCACAACATAAACATTCTTTAATCTTTCCCTTCTTAAAGCAAAGTCATCCTTGACCTCACTTACCTCCAGCTACTGCCCCCTCTCCTTTTCATCTCTAATCTCATTGAATGCATTCTCTGCAATCACTGTCTGGAGTCCCTCTCCTCCAGTTCTATCCTAGATCCCCTACCATTCATTTTCGCTTCTTGCACTCCATTGAAATGGCTCTTGGTAAAGTCTCTAATGACCTCTTCCTAGTCAAATCTCAGAACTAGTACTCCCTCCTTGTCTTCGTCAACCTGTCAGCTGCCTTTCGTACTAATGACCATGGCCGCCTTCTTGACAGTTTGTTCTCCCTTGGTTTCCATGTCTCTGTCCTCTCCTGATTCTCCTTCTATCTCTCTAATTGCTCCTTCAGTGTGTTCTTCGGAGGATCCTCTTCATCACCTCCAACTTCCTATGGGTGTTCTGTAAGGCTCTGTCCTTGGTCCCCTTCTCTTCTCCATCTATATCTTATCTCTGGTAATCTCATCTGTAAACACAAATTCACCTACCATCTCTATTCTGATGACTCACAGATCTACCTCTCTACTCCCAGACCTATCTCCTTCTGTCCAAACTAAAATCTTGACCTGTCTCTCTGACATCTCCTCATGGATGTCTAGCTGTGTGCCCAAGCTCAACATGGCTAAACAGAGCTTTTTATCTCCTGCCCTGCAAGTCCTCTCCCCACTCTTTCTCAATCACTGTCAACAACAACACCATTCTGCCTGTCACTCAGTAATCTTCGACTTGGACCTCTCTCTAGGTACTCATATCCAGGTTATGTCTAAATCTTGCAGATTTTTTCTGAGTAATATCTCTAAGATATGGCCATACCTATCCATTCACACAGCTAAACTCTCATCCAGGCTCTCATCATCTGCCATCTCAATTACTGCAACATCCTTGTCTCTGGCTCTGACAAATGCAAACTTGCCCCACTCATACCCTTTAAGAATGCTGCTGCAAAAACATTTTCCTACCCCATCATTTTTACCACTGGCATCCCACCATTTGAAAGGGGCTCTGGAAAATATGCGCACAGCTACCTCATTATCCTCCTTCAGATCCCTCCTTAAAACTCTCCATTGCCCTGATGCCTACAAAAATTTGTCAACGGTTAGGCTGCTGATAGGCTCACACTACTGTCTATTATACTGACCGATCCTGGGTATTGTGCAATCATGGGGTGTAATTCCAGCTTAAGTTGACAATCTGAATAAGCTCAACAGAGAGAGTTTTATATAGTTTTAACAGCTGTGAAAAAAGGTTGTTGTATGCCATACCTGCAGTTGTGAAAACACATTATAAAAACAGACTGGCCAACCCTTGATTTTATCCATTTCATGACAGCCGGCGCTTTTGGAATGCACAGTGTATACAATGCTTGCTGGAGCTGAGTCATGTTCCTTTTCAGCATTCCACTTTGTACTTCATAGTTTAGGTTGAGGAATGTGAGGGTTTTATTTGCTGTATACCAAAGAAGCAGAGAGTAAATGCAATTAAAAAATACTTCATAGCTCATTTTCAGCCCTAAATAATGAGCATTGGGAAGAATTATCAAAAGCTGAAAATGCAAATTGGGATGGTTCAGAGGACTGGGATCTGAGGATTTGGGTTAGGACCTTCTCCAGCAGGAATGTATTTGGTAACACCATTATGCATTCACATATAAGGTCTGGAATTCTTGGAATAAGCTTTGGGAAGCTTGTATCATGCTTACATTTATTTGGACGTATTGTTTCTGTTGACGAGAATTAGGACAAGGATTCAATTTCAAATGCAATCTCATAGACTAAAGTAATACCTGTGCTATAATTTGGTCTTCTGTATTTCATTCATGCTTTACGAGTAAAGTAAAATTTTCATTTGCTTTAAGATTGACCTTGGCCCGGGATGGTCCCAGGCTTGATCTCACTGTCCCTTACCACCAATTTCTAGAAAGGGTATGGATGTGTTGAACACTGGAGAAGCAACCACCTTAAAGAACAATGGATCCAATCCCCCTCCTTCCATCTGTCCCCCAGCAACTCCTTTAAATAATGTTGAGTCTGAAAGGAGCCACCACAAATTCTCTTTGACTGATGAAAAGGTGGGTACAACTTACAGGCCTCCCAGCCTAGGTAGACAGATTTGTGCTAGTAGGGCTCAAGTTAGCACCCCGTAAATAGCAGTGTAGATATTATGGCTCTGATGGAGACTTGGGCTAGCTACCTGAGCTCAGATCCAAAGGTGTGTGGCCGGGGGCATGATCTTAGGTGGCTAGCCCAAATCTCCACCCAAGGGGCAGTGTCCATACTGCTATTTTTAGTGTGCGGGCTTCAGTCCTGCGAGTGCAAGTCAGTCTACGCAGGCTGGAAGGCTCACTTCCAGCTGCAGTGTAGACAGACCCTTAGGATCTTTGAGGGAGGAATTTAAAGGAGTAAATTGGGCATTTTAAATTCTCTCCACGGCTTCCAAGCAAATAGCAGTTGGGCCAAATATAACCCAGAGCCTTGTTTGCACTAGAGTTACTATATGCATATAGTCCCCAGAGTAGGAAGTCCACTGGGGCAATAAATGTGGTAGCGTAAAGTAGCTGTAACCTTTCCTTTGCCGGGGGGAGGGGCTGGAAGGGGCCAAGGTGGGTGTGAGCAGCCTGGATCAGGAGGCAACACAGTCATAATGGCTGGGAGATGTGCATCCTCTTAGAGGCTCCCATGGTGGAAATTAAAGCTTCCTCCCAGCGGGAACCAGGTGGAAAACACTAGATCACTGCCTGCCCACCCTTGACGTGACTTTCCCTCCTTGCCACTCAGGGCACAGAGGCCTGTTACATTCCATATGCCTGGCTCAATTAATCTGCCCTACTAAACAAACTGGTTCTTGGCAGTGTATGTTTGTGTTTCTCCTTGTGTCTTTAACTGCATGCTCATGAGTTTTCAATCTGGCGAATAACCTTTACAAAGGAGAAATAAAAGTTCCCTGTATTTTATTGTGTTCCAAGTTCAAATGGTGATTTATATCTATGGAAAAACAGCAAATATCCTAAGTTTAGTAGGCTCTAAGATGCCAGCAAACTACACTGTATGTCTCACCTGATCAATTCAAGTAAGTAAAGACCCTAAATGCTGTGTTTGACTTGGTCCTTTTATTCTTCCTGACTATTTAATAATGAAAACACAATATTAATAATAACTTCGTCTCCAGATTGCTTTATTCTTTGTTACCTCAGGTGTATATATAAACACACTACACTAAATACACTAAAGGACTACATTTCTCATCTGGTGCATAAGGGTTTTAGGCATGCAATTCCTGTTATTGGTAAAGTTGCTTGCCTAATTCCCTAAGTGCTACACTAAAAATTGATCTCAAGTAGCTTCACTCTGTAAAATACTTTGAAATATTTCATTTCTGTTTACAGGGCTGTGACTCTCAAATAAGCATGTCAGAAATGTCCTGCAGTGAAAGTACCTCCTCTTGTCAGTCCCTAGTACATGGCTCAGCTCCAGAAATCCTCATCGGCCTACTTTATAATGCCACAACTGGAAGACTATCAGCAGAAGTGATAAAAGGCAGCCACTTCAAAAACTTGGCAGCAAACAGACCACCCAGTGAGTGATAATCTTTTTTTTTTTTTAATCATCCTAATACTTCTGCACTTGTGGGGCTCTCAGTGGTGGGAACATCAATCCTATCATTTAGTCTTACCCAGTCCAAATGAAATAGAGCAATCATCAACTAATCTGTTTCATGTTTTTATTTCTAGTCCGTTGGGAAATAGCAAAAATCTAAAATTCAAAATATTAGTTATAAGTTGACAAGACTGTTTTAATTTTTCATGATGACTGACTAATAAATTACCTTTATTATAATGATTAATTGCTGAACTATTAATGCCTCACATCACAGGCCAGGAATAAAAAGTTACCGTTTTTAAAGAAACAGTATGTGCCAACTAACACTAGTGTAAATATGGTGAAGCTGTTGCTGTTACTAGGGAACTGATGCTACAGTCTTTAATTGTGTATGGACTTGTGTATGTATGTGATATATTTGGAAAAGTTATATTTAACTTTTGAAATCTCAGAGAAGACACTCTAAGGCAAATTCTAGCCTTTGCCATGTGATGCAGTACAGATCACCACTTAACTTGGAAAATTCATCACTGGATGGAGCTGGGAAAACTTTTTTTATTTTAACTTATTCTGCAAAATTGACTCAAAATCAACCTTGGTTTGAGATGAACCTGTGTCTAAAAATATCTCCAAACTTTCTAAATTTGTATTTTGAGTTCGAGCATAATTTCCTGAAATAAGACACATGGAATAAGTCAGATGGTATTTTTCCTCCGTCTAGTGTTCCAAATTTTGGTTGGATGTATTCCTGGAGGCTTCCTCGCATGACATAATCTTTAATTACAAATTAATCTTAAATTCCTGGAGACTCCAGGACAATCCCAGAGGGTTGGCAACCCTACCTCCATCCCTGACTGGTTGCTCCTTCTCATGTGATGTGGAGAATAAGCCCAGCTAATCAGAATCCATTTTTATTTGGTTCCTATGTGATTCCATTCTAATTCTCTGATCTGACTTGGCAAAATTCAGTAGGTGTCTGTCTGACTCAAGCAGGATATAGCAAGATATGTCTGGATGCTCCGACGTTGGCCACATTATTCCCCAATCTAAGTTCCCTCTAAGCTGCGTGGCCACACAGCTGCTTATTAAGCACTGTGCAGGCTCTCAGGGCTGCAGTAGGAAGAGATGCCTCTCCCCAAGCCCTGACCCAGCCCAGTCCCGAACCTGCTTAGGACGGTGGAGAGGCACCCCAGCCCCAGACCTGCTGCAGCCAGGGGACAGGAGCCCCTCCCCCAGCCTGGCCCAGCCCAGCCCCAGACCTGCAGCAGCTGGGGAAGAAGCGCCTCTCCCCTCCAGCCCAGGTGCTGCTGCAGGGAGAGAGAGAGCTGGGGGGGGGAGTCCTCTCTCCCCATCGTTACCCCGGGGAGCCCCACTGCACCCCAAACCCCTAATCCCCAGCCCCACTGCAAAGCCTGCACCCCCAGCCGGAGCTCTCATCTGCCCCCCCAACCTTCTGCCCCAGCTCTGAACCCCTCATCCCTGGCCCCACCCCAGAGCCCACAACCCCCAGCCAGAGCCCTCACCCCCTTCACCCCAACCTTCTGCCCCACTCTGAGCCCCCTCCCACACTCCGAATCCCTCGGTCCCACCCTGTCACATGAATTTTGTTATGTGCACCAATGTGGAGATGATGTGTCATGCCATCACCTCCATATTGGTGCACATAACAAAATTCATCCCACACATGGGTGGAGAAAATTGGAGGGAACACTGTTCCCAGTCCGCAATTTTCCTACCATTTTGCAGGCTTATCTGGCAGGCTGCCAACATTAAAAAAGCTGTGTTCATATCCTATCCATCTCTGGGATTGTTCTCTTCTTTAGCAGCTGAGTCATAAGTGGGACACTGAGGCTTGAGACTCTCTCCTCTCCCTTCCCTGGCTCTTTACTTATCCCATTCATTACCTTTGTCTCAGCCTTCTCCTCCATCTCCCTCTCTGAATATCTTTCTGCAGGGATGGAGCTGAGCTTGGTGGTCATGGATGGAGAAGGGTATGATGTAATCTTAGCTGCCTTTGTGTTGCCAAGCAGCAGCTCCAGAGACATCTCTTTGGAGTCAAAAACTAATAGAGATTGGGGATTAGAGAGACAGGAAAGGCTGGAGAAAGAGAGAGCGAGAGAGAAAGATGGGGAAACATGAAGGACCCAAAGACCCTAGATGAGGGAGAAGAGCAGAAGATGCATGGAGAGATGGGGATCTCACAGGCAAGAGAGATGAGTGTGGAGAGGGACAATGGAAGTTTGAGTGAGGGGATGGAGGTGGAGATGTGAGAATCAAGGTAGGGGAGAGATGACTCTGGGTTCCCTTAGGGAAGAAAGAATAGGTAGCTGCCCCTGAAGGTGTTGGAGAGAGGGAATAAGCTACAGTTTCCTATAATACATTAGTGTACAAATTTTATGCAGATTAGATCTTGGGGGGTTTTATTTCTGGCAAGTCTGGCAGTGCCCTAATACTTTACTTTCATTCATTTCCCAGTTATCGGGAATTACCTTATTATTTTATGTTGTGATTAGTATAATAATGAGGGCCTAATTCTATATGTGCAAACATGAGATCAGAGTTCTGTTGTTTCCATGAAGCTGAGATGTAATCTAATTTCTAGTTCTGATGTGAGTGCTAAAACACTCATGATCCCATAGAATCCCAGTTTCACCCATGGATCACAATGAGATTCAACTGTGAAAAGTAAGGTTTTGTTCAGACATGACCCTTTTCATAGATTAGGGATTGTGAACTCATGTAAATTTGTCAAAGTCCTTGCAAACCAAACCTGGAAGGGTTCCTGCATCTCTATTACTGTTATAAGAGTTGTAGTGAATTTATCAAGCTACAGACTGACCTATACTAACAATCAGAGTTTGGAATTTGATCTGATATAGTATCTATAGTATAATTATCACTATAGTGTGATGAAGATGAGTGTACTAATCCTGATGAACTTTTATGTATTTTTAAAATTCCATTATAATTTAAAATTATAAAGTAGTGCATAAACTTTCATATAATAATTGTATGCATTAGTTTTAATTAATGAGTTGTTTAAATTTTAAACTAGAGATGGATCCACATTTGAATCCCAGGTCTGAGCATCTGTGAACTTTGCGGAAGTTTAGATCAGTTTCACTTTGTGATTCAACTTCATCTCTGCTTCAGTCGCAAAGTAACATTAAATATAATGACTGATCAAGATCATTATACATTTCTAGGATTAACTTTTGAGGTCAATAATCTATCATTCTATTATTTGTAATATACGGAGCATAATTACTGTGTGTAGTCTTACTTAATATGCTGGAGTTTGCATGAAAAAGCATAAGGTTTGATAAAGAAGATACAGTGATATCAACCTAGACTTTTATAACCGGATCACATGCATGATTCTTTCTATGTTCAATGTGCTTTAAATCCAATAACTATTAATATTAAGATCTCCCACTATTTAAGTGTAATTTTTTTGGTAAAGATTACACAATGAATGTACAAAATTCTCGTTTCATTAAATTTTACCCAACAATCCTGTTGTTCCATCCTCTATCTGAACAGAACTGCTAAGGTTTTGTGTTCTTCCGCTCCAGTGAACAGTGTTTCCTCTTAAACTTTAACCTTTGACCCTCTCTCACCAAACTATTGACATCTGGTCATTATTTCTTTTACTGCTTTCCACCCCCTGTTGTCAGACGGACTGTTCTGTTGTCTAAAACACTTGATAGGTGGACAGGTTTATATAATCCGAGGTGAGTTCCTGTAGAGACTAATTGGATGTTGTCTTTTTCATGCAAAAGGAAACTTGCCAGCAGTAAAGCTGTCCACGGCTGTCCACCATGTAGTTTCCAAAATGTACATTTATTATCTGTGGCACTGTTAAAAATAGTGGTAGCACATATCTCTGATTATGGATGATGGTATTCAGAGTATCTAAAAAGTGAAAATATGCAATGAGCATGCTCTACGCAAGCTCTAATCTTTTAATAATCTTCTTGTCATATATACGATAGGAATAAAAAAGCAGATTTTTTCAGACAATTATATACTTCTTAAAATGAGTAATAACTTTATGAAATACAAATGCTTATACAGTATGCAGGTGTCATGACAAACAAAAAAATACAATTTTAAAAATACAAGGCTTATCACTCAAATACTAAAACTCATGGTGTGTTAAATGCATTTTACAGTATATATTTTAAACATTACATCAGCATTTTGAAAGTATTTCCTAAAGCACTAGGCAAGCCACATCTTAAAGAACCATGTTAAATTGTGCAAAGATTATTTATTTTTCTCTCCAAAAACACATTAAATGTAATCTTGCATGAAACTAGGAACTACAAAAGAGATGTAATCTGTTTTGTAAATATCCACCATTTAATACATTTGGCTACATTTTGGTCTTTAAATGTAAACAAAATCAAAAAGTCTTAAGTAAGAAACCACATCCATGCAGAGATTTTTTTTTAAAGCATTTCATCCTTAGCTGTTTTGATGTCATTGCTGCACACCAACATTCGTTTTTCCTCTTCATTAGTTGTCTTCATTCCACTTGTTTGTTCTTATTTTCTGAAAACTCAGTGATATGCTTTTCAGTGTTGTGGCTAGTTGAAGCTTGCTAAGTGTTAATGCTATACCAGTCTGCTTTGTGTACAGACGTTGGGGGTGGTGTGAAAGAGAAGGATTATGAGGAATACCGTTAACTAAACTCATTAACATAGTGAAAATACCAGCTATGTCATTAGTGCAATAAAAATATTTTTGCTTACTTATCATCCTCTTCACATTATAACTATGTATGTCCAAACTGAGCTATGTTCAGTCAACATGGTATACACCGTATCCTTATGTAGTATGTCGTTATATATCTTGTTAGCAAAAAGTCCTAGTCTAACAGTTAACATTCCAAAATGTTATTTATTTTGTAGATACATATGTTAAGTTAACACTGCTGAATTCCATGGGTCAGGAGATGTCCAAGTGCAAGACGTCCATCCGCCGAGGGCAGCCAAATCCAGTATACAAAGAAACCTTCATTTTTCAAGTGGCACTATTTCAGCTTTCAGATGTGACACTCATACTGTCTGTGTATAATAAACGCAGCATGAAACGAAAAGAGATGATAGGCTGGATTTCTCTAGGTCTCAACAGCTCAGGAGAAGAGGAACTAAATCACTGGACTGAAATGAAGGAATCCAAAGGACAACAAATATGTAGATGGCACTCATTACTAGAGTCTTAATAGGTAGTACCAAGGGTCAGTTGTGGTTCCAGGGAGTTCCATGTTTAACAAGACTGTCCCTTAGTCACCACTAAGAGATCTGTTATGGAAGTAACAAATTAACATTCCACCTTAAAGAATGCACAGTGTGTGATGGAGCGGAACATTTTACACATTTTCTTCAATTAATTTGTCAGACACCTCACTAGTGTCACATTAAACCTTTCTGTACACAGACGAGATAGCAATTGCTCCATCCCCTTGATGCTTTCCGTACTGTTTGGTTTGGGATTATTTTCAATTTAGCAATTCAAATATATTTTATGTAAAAATTCCCAAATTATTATAAAATCCTCCTATCATCTTGGATTTTTTAGTGCTCTTATATTTTAGTTTCTGACCTGCAAACATCCCGATTTAGAGACATTGGCCTTTAATACAAGAAACAAATTATTAAACTATGACACAAGTAAACAAAACAACAACAAAAAATCACCACGACTTGGAAAGAAAGCGTAATAGGGAATATATTGCTATTTTAGAATGATTTTGTTTTTTACGCACTTAGTTGCATTAACTTTTCATTTCTGATGTGAAATTAGTTTGAAAAACTCTAGCACTCAGTGGAATCAGGTGAACTTTGACATAAAATAAATGTTTCTTCAATCTGTGATAGGAACAAGCTCCACATTGTGGCATAAATTGGGTTTTTCCCCATTTGCCTGTGCTGGTGCCTAACCCAAAGAGACCAGATCACTGTTCTGGTCCCTTGCAAGTCTGTTGAGACAGGTTGTACTGTAAAACTATGTAACTTTCTGTTGAAAGCACTTCCTGTATTCATGTATTCCAATATAGGAAGCTCCTAGAGCGTGAGTTTACTAAAAATATCTTTTCATTAAACCAATTGATATGCATTTCTTTAAAATGTCAATATTGTGAAGATTATGTTGAAAGATCACAGAAGAAACAGTAGTAGTTAAACTGCTAAGGTAAAGGACCAATTCTATGACTTTGGGGAAAAGAAAGATATTTTTGTTTCCATGGCTGGTCATGTGAATTGCAGAGTTTCAAGAACCATAATTTCTAGTCTTGTTGGAGGACGAATACCAGGGATCTAGAAGAGAGTTATTTCCTCTCTATTTTCCAGGTGGCAGAGAGAAATAGGGCTAACCCCTGAGTTGTCAGGGCTTGCATGGAACATTGAACTCCCAAATGTATGGGTCCATTTGCTCTGCATGTATTTAAGGCTGGCACGGTTGGCTTCATAGCAACATCATGGTAAAAAAAAGAAAAAGCTGCAGCATAATGGACAAATTTTGCCTTTGGACATGTACCCACAACTTCCACTGACATCAAAGAGGTGTGGGTGTGTGTGTAGAGCTGAGATTTGGGCCTAAGTACCGTAAGTACAGTAGAGTATCACTAATTCACACTGACGGCCAGATCCAATTCAGATTACTAAATATTGTGGATTATTGAGTCAGTAATGACACTGGTTTTAAAAAAAAAAAAAGTCAGGATTCTCAAAATGTATTTTTGTATTTATTACGATAATTTTCATTTCATCTTAATTGCTACTCTACCATATGTGAGCAAACATACCAAAGTTTATTTCTTAAAAGTAATTAAGTCTTACTAATGTGAGACCCCCCCAGTGCAGCATTCACTGAGAAGGAGGGTGCGATCGCTGTATTATTTTTGGTGAGAATTATTGATGTTGTAGTGAATTTGGGTAAAGAAAGAAACTCTTTCTTGTTACCTCTGAACAGTTCAACCTTTGGGATACAAAGACCGTCAGGTACTGTGTGATTGCATACAGCAAGTGTATAAACTTAAAGATACATCATGTGACTCTCAGATACTCACAATACTTAAATGATTTCATCCCTTTCCTAAGAAATCTCCAGTTATAGTTTTGAATTGATGTTATTTCGTGCCTTTCATATCACACTAGTTGAAGCTGCTAATACAAACGGATGGTTATATTTGCAGAACTGGGCCTTCAATTTTTATTGGCTTAAGGATTTCTCAGAACATTGCCACAGGAATTTTCTTTCCTGTCTTGCATGTTGTTTTTTATGTAAGGCACAATAAATTTCATTTTGGTAATTCAAACATCCAAGAACTTTGATTAGCCAGAAACATTGTAAGTAGCAGTACAGTATAAAGTGTTCCTTCCAGTTCTGTTTGTTGCTCAGTTTGTGAGGTGCAACTTCAAACTCGTAAATGTTTAAATAAAAAATACGTTAATTTTATGTAAATAAGAAAAACCACCTCAATTTCCCCAGCTCATTTTGGTTTCACTTACAATAGACAAACTTATTTACTGAGTTACTACCAGGAAATATGTCATACGTAACCTCTCAAGGGTCATGAACCACTTATATTTGTGAATATTTTCAAGCAGTCTTCTAAGATCAAATATTGTCTGTCAAGGGTTGTCTCTTGTACAGGTTTCACTGTATAAAGTGGTGTACAGTATTTCACAGTAACTACTGAACAAGATAATTCCATTGCAGAGCATGGAAGATCTCAGGTCACCACAGACTATATTACAAATTAAACTTGGTGAGTCTATAACCTGGAAAAGGAACCCAAACTACACTAAACGATGTGAGCAATCAAATTCCTTTGGAAAAGTGATATTGTTTAGGAATGACATTTTCATATATTAACAATTCTGACATATAAGACATTAACATATTAATTTAGACAAAACATGTCTAGATGCATGTTGAGTACTAATAATCTAACCAGATTATTTTTGTTAGATCGTGATGCTTTTCCAAGATTTTCATATATGATTTTCATAGACTCCAGATTCAACAAGTGTATCACAAAGTTAAAGGTCTTACTTATTTAGGCTCATGCAGTATAAATGTATATGAAGAGCTTAAAGGAATTTCTAATTTTACATGGACATCATATACAGGTAATAGAATGTGGTCAGATGTTTTTGTCTTTCAAAACTAATCACATCATCATCCACTGGAATTCACATGGGAATTTTTATAAATTGGTGGTAGCTCTGGTAACTGCTATGTTGTTCTTTATTCCCAGGTCAGTGTTATGATTTGTGGTTTTGCTGGGATTTTTGTTTTGTTAATTGCTTAATGTGAATCTACACTCCCATATTCTAAATCTGCCTTTAGATAAAGCTTTGTGCAAACCTTACCCCAGTGGCTGATGCACAGAGTCTTTTGTATGCATTCAGATAGAACAAACCTCAACCAAGGAACAGACAATCCAAAGAACAAAAACCCTGGTATGTAGGAGAAAGAAATCAGAACAGGGGCTTTGTGCTGGCCCCAAAATTGTGCATGATTCTATTTTCTCTTGACTTTTTCTGTTGTTGTTTACCCTTCAGACTTCTGCTTTAAAGATACAGTCAGCCTTTATAAGAATTTATCAAATGATTAAATTATTTTTCTCCTGTATATCCGGATTCCACAGAGATTACAATCCTTGAACTGATATTGGTTTTTGTTACAACACCGCAATGGTTTTTTACCCCTTGGGTTGACATAAAACAGTAGTTTCTTGGAGAAACTACACTTAAAAGGAAAGGAGTATTTGTGGCACCTTAGAGACTACAGCTCACGAAAGCTCATGCTCAAATAAATTGGTTAGTCTCTAAGGTGCCACAAGTCCTCCTTTTTCTTTTTGCGAATACAGACTAACACGGCTGTTCCTCTGAAACCTACACTTAAAAGGGTTTTCTATCTTTTCTGCAATATATATACCTACATATTTGAAAAAAGGATTAAAATCTTCCATACTATATATGGCTCCTTACAAATAGGATTACAAAAGTGAAAGAGAATGATTGGCTCCATACTTGAATTTGCACAAAAGATTAAGGGCCAGATTGTGACATAACCGGCCAATACGAGGGAATATGAAGTTACCAGGTGCCCTATTACTCCCCTGCACTGGCCAGTAATATAGCAGTGCAAGATGGAGGACAGCCTCCTGTGCAGGTGGGTGGGGAGTGGAGAGAGGGGAGCCTTGGCTCCATTCCCCCATTTGCCGGCCAGAACATGCTCTGGGGAGAGTGAGTCTGTGCCAGGTGCAGAGAACTTCGCCCTGGGCAAGAGGGGACATGGCACGTGCAGTCACCGTCTGGTTCCCAGGCTGCTCCTGCGGCAGGACATCTACATGCTGCCCCTTGTGCTGGGCTTGTTGCAAAGCCACAATTCAGCCTTAGAGTAGAGTCTAGCTTCTTGGCTGACCAGCAGCTGAGGATTTGCTGGCATGCAAGAGCTATGGATTCAGCTACTTGACAGAGACAGCATAGTTGCTAAACATAATTAAAATCCTCAGAGCATATTAATAAAATGAAGGTTCAAAATACAGTGATTACTGGAAATTAAGGCATGCCCTTTTACTGGTGTGTCAGGCTCTATATCAGCTGAACAAGTCCATAGGCTATAATGGAGTCGGCGAGAGTACCCAGACCCCCGACTGGTTTTATTGCAGGTACTATAGAAGAGGACAGTTTTTCGGCACTCTAGAGACTTTCACCCATAAACTCTTGCAATCATTCTTATTGGCTACAATAGTGCCTGTTTTTATTATTTTCCCACCTGACACTTTTGGGGGGGGTTTCTTTTTTTCCTACCTCCCCCACTTTGTGTTTCTGTATTAGTCTGTCCGTTCTCTGCCCTCACTTAGGGGCCTGGTCCTGTGAGATGGTAGGCACCCTCAACTTCTGTTGTCCTCAGCCACTGGCCTTTGACAACGAGGGCACTCGGCACCTCTCATCACAAGGCACTGAAGTGGAGTGCAAAATAAGGCAATTGACTCAATTTTGGGTGCCTTGCAGCATTAGAGTTGGTAGATGACCTGTACTCAACAAACATTATGTTTTCAAAAATTGTCTCCCAAACTAAAACCAAATAATCCCTGTTACTATGATTCAGTCATCCCCCTACATTATGACTACCTTCTAGATTATTGTTGTGAATTTCCCTTTCTTTTATATATACTACCCTTGTAGCTTACTGCTGGTGAAATACAAAGTCATGAGAGCTTCAAAGAGATGAAAGGATGGAATTTGGAAAAACTCTATCTTTTAATACAATAAAAACTCCCATTGACTTAATTGAGAGAAGGATCAGACTCTTTACCTATCCATCACACTTGTCTGTAGGAATGCAGTCTTGTCTAAAGCAGTTCTCTAATATTATGGCATGTCAGTAAATACTCCTGGGGGAATTCTGTGCCACTGTGCAATGCAGAATGTTGCATAAATTAATGTTGTGCATGCAGAATTTTCTTTGCCCCCCCCCTCCCTAAATGGGCTGCAGAAATGTTGGCTGCCACTAGGGGCCACAGGACCTGGCAGAACCCTGCTCACAAATAGAAGACAAGGCCAGGGGAGGGGAGGGAGAGGGACCTGGAGGGTTCCCAGCAGTTGCAGTTCCCAGCACAGCCTGAAGGAAGGAGATGGCAGTGCACAGGAAACTCCATGCAAGCCCAGGACCCAGCATCAAGCTGTTTCTCCCTCTGGATCCCTGGGCTCTAAGAGGGTAGGGTCTGTGAGTGTCTGGGTCAAGGGCAGGGAGCTAGCAGCTGGTCTGTGGGAGAGAGGGAGTGTGAGTGTTTGGGCTGGGGAGGCCCCGCAGCGGGCATCTGGGGGGAGAGGGTGTGTGAGTCATCTGGTGGGGGGGGCTGCAGCTGCGAGGAAGGGGATATGAATATCTGGACTGGGTGGGCCATGGCTGGGCTCTGGGGTGTAGGGGGTGTGCGTGTCTGGCCCCCTGACTAGGCTCTGGGGGAGGGAAGGGGGCAGAGAAGCAGGAACTGGGAATTGTCATAGGGGTTTCTTTAACTCTATATTCCTGGGGGAGTTTTTTGTGTGTCTGTATTTGACAGCCATATTTGCTGACAGGTATTTTGAAATAAATTACCAAAATAATTGAAACTGGCATGATTATATAGTGTTATTTTGACCAATAAAATTTGCAGAATTTTAAAATATTATGTGCAGAATTTTTAATTTTTTGGCACAGAATTCCCCAGGAGTAAGTAAAGCAGACTATCCTCTCTCCTTATGTTGAATTTTCAGTAAGAGCTAGACATTTATATACTCTAAGGGTTCTATTTGCCTATTGAAATGCATGCCTAACTCCTATTAATGTTAATGAGAGGAACTCACAGACATTAACGGGAGAATAGACCCAAACCCAAAAGAGTAATAGGATCATCAGATTAGAGCACTGATATACCATGGTACCTGCAACACAACCAAATGTGATTTCAATTACGAATGGAGGTAAAAGCCAATTATAGGAGACCGTTTGAGTCTCAAATTTAAGTATTTAAAGAATCTTTTTCTCCCCTCTTTGGTTCTATTTGTTCCAACTTCTGGATTCTTTCTTTTACTTTAGCATTAACTTCACATTTAATAAAAATGGTCCACACATATTTTGATTGTTTTAACTGTAGCATTCAGAAAAGTACAGTGCTAAAGTAAACTGCCCCAGGAATGTATTATATCTTGTAATCTCTTAAATCTGTTACCAGGTTTTGTAACATACTGTAGGTAGATGATTTGTTTTGTTTTTGGTGGTATTTTTTGTGGGGAAGATCCATGGAAGCATTTCCTTGTCACTGAATGAATGCCTGATAAAATGATGTCAGCAAAGAGTATGAGAATTAAAAATAAGTTTGACAGCATTAAACAGCCTTTTGTTGTATGGGTCAAATTCTGCTCTCAGAAGAAAGTCTAGTCCCTGGATCCCAGACATAGGAAAACCAATGCCGTGTTGATGTGCAGTGGGGGCAGGATTTGTGGGGGCTACACTACTTAAAAGGCACACTTTGCTCTATGGGTCCCAACACACCCTATTTAAGGGATGTGGGAGGGGTAGAGGTCATGGACTTGCTGTAGTGTGTACCACTGGCTGTTGCGTCCTCTTGACTGGTGGGGATTACTGCAACTTTACAGCCTTATTGCTACCCCTCTGTACCCTAGGAGCTGGAATTCTTCCCTGCCATAGGCCCTGTAGAACCTCTTCAGGCTCAGCTACTATTTAGATCTAGGTTACAGCCTTGTAAATATGGCCTTCAATGAAGTTACTTCTTATTTAAAATGGTGTGACTGAGTGCATAACTTGGCCCTATATAAATATTGTGTCTGAGTCCCTCCATGAACAGTGCTAGCTTCTGTTAGTGCAACCCAGACCGTGAGTTCCTAGGGAGCTCCAGCCATCAACTAAAGCTGCCCAGCCATGGCAGAAACCTGTTGGAGGGAGAATGGCAGCAGGACTATCACCTGCCCTCCAACAAGGATGAGTAGCTCCTGGGTGCAGGGGGGGATGTAATTTGTACCTCCCCTTTCCTCTTGTGTCCAAGGAGATGAATCTGGCCCACTGCATCCAGTTAACTGTTGCAGTGTGCTGTCCAAAATCCTACATCCATCCATTATATACCTAGAGTGGATTGATTTATAACTTTTGATTGATTTCCAAAATATAAACTTATACAAACTTGTAAGAATCTGCCAAATGAGCTAGAAACATTAGTGTGGCATTGGGATACAGGGAAATTTCTAAGACATGGTACAGTCAGGAGCTGAACTTTGAACAAGTTTTGATAGTCAGTTTTGCTATGGTTCATTATGACATTTTAAGAAAATTTCTAAAGCAGTTTGAATGTTTTAAGAAATATTAAAAAAAATAAAAAGCAACGCTCTTTTATGACAATACAGCTAGTTTGCTGTCCTTTCCTGTAAACCACAAGGTTCATTAATGCTTGGAACTGTTTCATTTATTACAACTGTTTTTAATGTAATTTTCCTGACCAAGTGTAATTAGGGAAATCTTTTATTTACTTTTTTCCTTTCTTTGCTTGTTTTAAGGAGAGGCTTTTCCCTATACAGTATATATACTTTCTTACAGAGCTTTCTTATCTATTTTTATAAAAATTGATCTAACAATGTAAAGTTAAATGCTCTATGAGCAAAGCTACATCTCTGTTAACCAATCTAAAGTGCTGTACTAATGATTAAGGGCCGGAACCTACTGCCCCTACTCAGGGTCTGATTCTGCCACACTTCTTCATGTTGAGTAGAACCTTACTGCACAAGTACTTCCACCGGTTTCAGCGAGACCACTCACAGAGCAAGGTGCATGACTAACAGTGGCAGAACTGAGCCCTCAGTGAGCAGTCCTATTGACTTCAATGGGACTTCTCCCACAAATAAGGGATGCAGGGTCTGCCCCGTAATTGTGGTTATAGATTATAGTTCCCTTCATCTTAAATGATATCAAACTTGTTTGCTGGTGACTATAAACTAATAATTAATCTTTCTTAGTGAATTCAAATACTGTATTGAATTATGCTGTTAGCCAGATTATTAAAATGTGTTTTTCACATTGTAATTCGTTCTTTCATTAAAATATATAAAAATATGGGCTTGTGAAGGAGTATTTGTATGGAGAGAGCACACCGCCACCAAATTTTATATGAGTGTATTAAATATATAGTATGTAGCATTTTATTCACATACTTTTATACTGCTTGTATACCACTGTTACACTCGATGCCTTGTTTCTTTTGTATAAAACTAATATGTAGAGAAACTGATGTTATCATGTATAAACAATGTCACTGTAATTTGAGAAATGTCTTAACCAGATTATTTCTAGTACAGAAGGTTTTAAATGGCAGGTCAGTTTAACATAGCACATTTTCTTGAGAGGTTAAAAGTTGTCCCTCTTCCTTTCTCAGCTGCATCCCAAGAAACTTCTTCACATGATTGTTTGTACTTAACAGACTGTCGTGTCTGATGTTAGTCACATGGTGTTAACCAAAGAACCAGCCCTGTTTCTAATTCATTGGACAAATAACTTTGGGGCTTGATATCATAGAATTACTGAAGTGACAATATGGATCTCATTGAACTAATATAAAATTGACATATCTAAATGTGATTCACCGCTGGGAATAGAAGATTTTTTTTTCTGACTAGTTGTACATTATTGTATCTGTATGTGTGTGTTAATCAAATGTGCCCACAAAGCAAACAAAAATACAAATAAACAGTGCAGACATATTTTACCCATTTAATGCCTGTGTCAGGAGTGTACAACTTCAAGAAGCCTGGTAATTTCAAGCCTATTCCTGTCTGAAGCCCTGATAGCATAATGTAGCTGTAAACCTGTACTGCCCTTACCAAGACAAATCCATATCATACTAAACATACATCTGGTTAATATTCATAATATAACAAAACCTCCAACCATTATGTTTCCCTTTTAAATTCTTTTCATTAGATGATTCGTCTATAAAGTTACAGGGTTTTCATCTTCCATTTTCTTCTATCATTGCAAATTGTTTGCACTTCCTTAACAAAGACTTACGACAACAAAAGCAATTTAAGAGAACATACCATACTTTCCAAGTCTTATTCAGCACATGAAAAAGAATTTTAAATATCAGACTATAAAAATGACAAAAATTAAAATCAGTACATTCTGATCAAGAAACTGACAGCCTTTCAACCCATAATTCCATGAATTAACCAGAAGCCTTCTTGATTAACTTTTTTGAAGTGAAACATCAATGCCCAATTAGTGATTTGGGGTTTTCCCCCCTTCCTAAAAAGGGCTATCTTTTTTTTTTGACACTAGAAATGGAAACATAAAGAACTCT